CGAGCACATGAATGATCGAGCTAACATACACGACATATCCGACGGATACTCCTTCGCAGCCGACGTCTTGAATTCACCTGCCTCATTCACCCCTACGAGCTCCGACGCATGAGAGCTACACACGCAACGGCCCTGGCCAGGCAACATCTGGATAACACTGTTCAAACAGGGGACCTTGACGGCCAACAGGGTTGTCGGCTTCCTGGACTTGGCCCCGCAACAACACTGATCGAACTGTGTGAAAGTAGCGTGCGCACGGGGCCTGAAGCCCAGCAGGGCTTTGACTTCGGGCAACCTCCAGATCGACGGCAAGTGCAAACGCTCGGGTTCGGCAGGGCCTCCGCCTCCTCCTCCTCCTCCTCCTCCTCCTCCTCCTGATCCTCCTCTCCTCCTCCTCCTGATCCTCCTGATCCCCCTGATCCTCCTGATCCTCCGTCCTCCGCTCTCCGTCCGCCTCCTCCTCTTCCAAGGCCTTCCCGCGCCCGTCCCCCAGCCCACCCCTGTGACAAAACAGCTCTAGACCTCTGGACCGATCAGAACGCCTGGAAAGCATACAGCACTTGAAATTCAAAGGTCCTGCAATGTGTAGCCCTCCTGGATAATCAGGGACGTGTCCTTCCTCCTCGTCCCCCTCATCCTCCTCCACCTCCTCCTCCCCCTGCCACTCCTGGTTCGTCCTTCACCCTGCACCCTGCGTCCCCATTTATCCATTCTTGTTTGTCCACCTCTCTCGTCCTCCTCTGACCCGTCATCCGCCCCCTGCGTTTTTTCTTATGTCTCTTCTTCTGTTTCGGTTTCGCCATGTTATTCTCAGTGTTATTCATACTATTCCCAACCATCCTGTGGTGTTGGGTCCTCGTTTGAAGAAACGGCCCCCGCGTTCTTCTCCTATTCTCCTCCTGTTCCCCCTCCTCCTCCCTCCTCCCTCTTCCATGCGCTTCACCCACCCCGCACAGCGCTTCGCGGCCCCATAGGGAGCTGCACTGGAGCCCCCAATGGGACCGCCCGCATGCGTCCGCCACCACACAGCACAGCCCTTGCTCCCTGCGTTTCACCCGCCCAGTACAGCGCTTCGTGGCCCCATAAAAGGGGCTCCACCGAAGAACCCAATGGCACCGACCGCATGCGTCCGCCACCACCCAGCACAGCTCTTGCTCCCTGCGTTTCACCCACCCAATACAGCGCTCCGTGGTCCCATAGGGAGCCCCACCGAAGGTCCCAATGGCACCGCCCGCATGCGTATGCCACCACCTAGCACAGACCGTGTTCACTGCGCTTCATCCACCCAATACAACGTTTAGCGGCCCCATAAGGGAACTCCACCGAAGGTCCCAATGGCACCGCCCGCATGCGTCCGTCACCACCCAGCACAGCCCCTGCTCCCTGCGAGTCACCCACCCAGTGCAGCGCTTCGTGGCCCCATAGGGAGCTCCACCGAAGGTCCCAGTGGCACCGCCCGCATGCGTCCGCCACCACCCAGAACAGCCCTTGTCCCCTGCGTTTCACCCACCCAGTACAGCGTTTCGTGGCCCCATAAAGGGGGCTCCACCGAAGGTCCCAGTGGCACCGCCCGCATGCGTCCGCCACCACCCAGAACAGCCCTTGATCCTGTCGCTTCGCCCACCCAGTACAGCGTTTCATGGCCCCATAGGGGGCCCCACCGAAGGTCCCAATGACACCGCCCGCGTGCGTCCGCCACAACCCAGCACAGTCCTTGCCCCCTGCGTTTCACCCACCCAGTACAGCGCTTCGTGGTCCCATAGGGGACTCCACCGAAGGTCCCAGTGGCACCGCCCGCGTGCGTCTGCCACCACCCAGCACAGCCCTTGCTCCCTGCGTTTCACCCACCAATACAGCGCTTCGTGGCCCCATAAGGAGCCCCACGGAAGGTCCCAATGGCACCGCCCGCATGCGCCCGCCACCACCCAACACGGCCCTTGATCCCTGCGATTCGCCCACCCAGTACAGCGCTTCGTGGCCCCATAGGGAGCGTCACCGAAGAAGATATTCACAACCGCGGTACTCACAACTTCATATGGTTGGGTTTTTTTCCCCTCATCATCCTCCTTCTCATCCTCCGCCGTCTCCCTCGACCTCCCCCGCCATCGCCCATCTTCGTCGTTGTCGTCGTCGTCGTCGTCGTCGTCGTCCTCGTCCTCCTCCTCCTCCTCCTCCTCCTCCTCCTCCTCTTCCTCCGCCTCCTCCCCCTCCCCCTCCCCCTCCGCCGCTTCATCCCCCTCTTTCTCCTCCTCCTCCTCCTCATCTCCGTCCTCCTCCCTCCTCCTCCTCCCCCATTGCTTTTCCTTTAGATTACCCTGCGACGCGCCCAGCCCATGTGCATCAAGTGGCAAGAGTAGGCCAACATTAGCAGGAACAGCGACAGTGCAGACGCGGTGAATTGCCGCGCAAACTACATGGGATGCGCATGCGTTGCACGACTCACAAGACGACGGTCGAAAGAACGAGGATTGAGGCCCCAAGCTCGAAGAATAACGGTGACCGGAACGAGGGGCAAGAGAAGGATGAATGGGGGGGTAATCTGAATCTGCGCATGGCGTCACTCCGCTGGGCCCCCCAGCAGACCTCGAAAATGGCGACGGTTTCGCAGATCGCAGCCCCCCCAGGGAAGGCGAGGTCTAAACTGAATCTGCGCATGACCCCACTCCGCTGGGCACCCCAGCAGCCCCCGGAAGTGGCGACAGTTTCGCAGATCGCAGCCCCCCAGGGATGGCGAGGTCTAATCTGAATCTGCGTATGACCCCACTCCGCTGGGCACCCCAGCAGCCCTCGAAAGTGGCAACAGCTTCGCAGATCGCAGCCCCACAAGGATGGCGAGGTCGAATCTGAATCTGCGCATGACCCCAGTCCGCTGGGCCCCCCAGCGGCCCTCGAAAGTGGTGACAGTTTCGCAGATCGCAGCCCCCCAGGGAAGGCGAGGTATAATCTGAATCTGCGTATGACCCCACTCCGCTGGGCCCCCCAGCGGCCGTCGAAAGTGGTGACAGTTTCGCAGATCGCAACCCCACAAGGATGGCGAGGTCTAATCTGAATTTGCGCATGACCCTACTCCGCTGCCCCCCCCTCCCCCCTCCCCCCCCGCAGCCCCCGAAAATGGTGACAGTTTAGCAGATCCAAGCCCCCCCAGGGATGGCGAGGTCTAATCTGAATCTGCGCATGGCGTCACTCCGCTGGGCCCCCCAGCAGCCCTCGAAAATGGAGACGGTTTCGCAGATCGCAGCCCCCCCAGGGAAGGCGAGGTCTAAACTGAATCTGCGCATGACCCCACTCCGCTGGGTTCCCCAGCAGCCCCCGGAAGTGGCGACAGTTTCGCAGATCGCAGCCCCCCAAGGATGGCGAGGTCTAATCTGAATCTGCGTATGACCCCACTCCGCTGGGCACCCCAGCAGCACTCGAAAGTGGCGACAGTTTCGCAGATCGCAGCCCCCCAGGGATGGCGAAGTCGAACCTGGATCTGCGCATGACCCCACTCCGCTGGGCCCCCCAGCAGCCCTCGAAAGTGGTGACAGTTTCGCAGATCGCAGCCCCACAAGGATGGCGAGGTCTAATCTGAATCTGCGTGTGACACCACTCCGCTGGGCTCCCCAGCAGCCCTCGAAACGGGCAACAATTTCGCAGATCGCAGCCCCCAAGGGAAGGCGAGGTCTAATCTGAATCTGCGTATGACCACTCCGCTGGGCACCCCAGCAGCCCTCGAAAGTGGTGACGGTTTCGCAGATCGCAGCCCCCCAAGGATGGCGAGGTCGAATCTGAATCTGCGCATGACCCCAGTCCGCTGGGCCCCCCAGCGGCCCTCGAAAGTGGTGACCCAAGGACGGCGAGGTCCAAGCTGAATCTGCATATGATACCACTCCGCTGGGCCCTCCAAGCAGCCCTCGAACGTGGCGGCAATTTCGCAGATCGCAGCCCCCCAGGGATGGTGAGGCAGGAGACAAACTGGCACGCAGGAGCGAGCGAGGTAGGAATCAGGGGGGAAGAGGAAAGGAGGAGGGGACGGGAGAGGACAGGAGAGGAGTCGCGACCGCAGCTGCTCTATCCAAAACGAGAACCTAACGCAGGAGGGTTGGGAAATAACCTCTCCCTGTCGCACCCCGAGGCCAGATGTTTGGGCGGGCCTGGCGTTTCGTCTAAGACCTCAGCATCTATGACCCTGACGCCTAGACATTGGAAACAGTTTCACACATGGAGGACGGGTGGTTTGTAAACTGTGGCTCTCGCCTTAGCGCCGCGCGCATTCGTGCAAATGACCCTGCGACGTGCCCAACCCATGTGCGTCAAGCGGCAAGAGGAGCAGGCCAACATTAGCAGGAACAGCGACAGTGTAGACGCGGTGAATTGCCGCACAAACTACATGGGATGCGCATGCGTTGCACGACTCACAAGATGACGGCCGAAAGAACATGGATTGAGGCCCCAGGCTCGAAGAATAACGGTGACCGGAACGAGGGGCAGGAGAAGGATGGATGGGGGGGATAATCTGAATCTGCGCATGGCGTCACTCCGCTGGGTCCCCAGCTCTCAACCGATGGCAGCACACTAAGTCTGTCTCGGGATGTACGTGATCTGATTATCTCGATCATCTGAGAAAGAATACGCAACCTTTTCCTGTGACTCAGGGGCCCCTGAACATCAAACGGCAGCGGTCCAGACATAATCAAACACTGTGCTAATAATCGATGCAAACAAACACGGCATACACACATAAAAACTCAATGGAACGTGGGTGATATTGACACGGGCGGAAAAAGGAGTTAGCACAGATACATTACAAACCACGCTGCCTGAACTCAGGGTTCCCCGGACGATTACCAGGAGACTCAAACGACAAACCTAAACAAAAGCTTGAAGCTCCAAGCTTTCGGGAACGGGACCGAAACAAAACACAGACAGATATCACTGTCACCGCAGGTCCCCTGCACAAACCAGTAAAACTCGAATGTGAAACATACCGGCGGTCGCGTCAGCGACATACATCTCCTTAATTATTTCAGCACGCCGGGCGATCGGTCGCTCTCGCCAGGCAAGCAAGTCCGCGCCTCGTGGGCGCTCGCGTAGTTGTGCATCTCGATGCACATCACCTCATGCGGCACCGCCGCCACGCAGCCGTAGGCTGGGTCCCCTTTGTCGTTCTCTATCCCATGAAAGCTCCGTGCGCGTACTCGGGCAGCGGCTGGAACCTTGGCGTCTGCGTGTCCTGGTTGTAGCGGCACTGCGCCTGACACATCATGTGGCGCACCTTCTTCTGGCGTGGCTGCTTGGTGTTCACACCGGTCGTCATCTTCTCGGTCCCCTCGACGTAGTGCTTCTCCGTCGGCTCGGTCTCAGGCTCACGCAGCTTGATGCTCTTCTGCTCAGCGCTCGTCGTAGCCCAGCGCGCCCAGCAGGTGCCGACCCAGAACCCACAGCCAAAAGCCATGAGCATCGCCGTCAGGAATCCGAACATAGCCAACCTCGCCAGCAGGTTGTCCCAGCCGTCGTCGGTCGGCGGGTGGAACAGCTCGACGCCGCTGGGCGTATACTGCACCACCTCAGCTCCAGAGCCAGTCGCTCCCGAAGCTGCCAACGTAGCTGCCAAACGAGCTCCGCTCGCGCCAAAATGGCGCGTCCTGGCCTTAGCCTTCGCCTTCGCCACGGGTTCTTTCTCGAAGGTGTCGAGCAACTCTTCTCCTGCCTGGTCCAGCTCCTTCTCGCGTTGCTCCATCGCACGCTTAGTGGGCTTCTTGCCGGCCACGAAGTCGGGGTCGCAGCGCAAGGCATGAACTCCACGGCGTAGCACATCCGCCATCATCTGGCGTGCCGAAAGCTTGGTGAGTCCGTCTGCCATCTGCTGCTGGGTGTTCACCCACGTCCACCTAGCGTTGACCTCTGCCAGCTGCTCGTTCACGATATTCACCTCGATGGCTGTTCTCTTCTCTGCGATGCCCAATCCTGCCGTCGCTGACCGCGAGGCGTCGTAGAGGCACTTCGCGTCTGTGATGAACGGCGACTCTCCGAGGTATGTCATGGCGGTGTCATGTCCGAGGTCAGGCCTCAGACTCATGGCCAAAAAGACCTTCACCCACATCAGCGAGTCGGCTTCCAGCGCCGCGGCTTGTGCCTCGGCGGACAGAGAGCTCCTGCACAACCGCGCCAGCTTCTTCGAGGCCCACTCCATGGCCACGAACGGTGTTGGGGTGCCGGCGTTGAGCTCGTCCTCGGGTCCGACGAAGATCTGATAGCCTCCTTGGGAACTTCCGTCAGGTCGGCTGGCCCAGCTCGCGTCTGAGTAGCCTCCAACGCGCAACTCACTCCACGGCCTGTCGAAGCCGAAGTACAGTCCCACATCCGCGTTGGCCTTCAGGAGCCGTAAATCTTTGTTCGCATCCGGCAAGTCCTGCACTGTCGCGCGGCCAGTCGCTGCGGCTCTGAACGAGACGGTCGCCGCCGCGATGATGACCCCCTGGGCTGCCGGCCACTGTAGCTGGCCGTTCAGGGTCCTGAAATTCGTGAGCTCCTTCGGCGACAGCGCGCTGGTGGGATCTGCCCGCCGGTGCTTCTCCACGGTGATGGGCTTCACCGCGTGCAGGTACTTCTCGAACTTGATAGTGATCGCGTGGGTGCTCAGGAACTGCTCCACCTCGCCGCCGGTGAAGACTAGACTCGGTCCGAGCTCCCACTTGCCGAACTTGAACTTCTCGTTGAGCATGCCCAGCCGCGCCTGGAAGCACTCGGTGTCGTCCAGCTTGGCGTATAGGTCATCCTCGCAACTCACGTTCTCGCCGCGGCCGATGAAGTCGTCCACGTGCTTGCCGATCAGCCCGTCCACCACGAACGTCTGGCCGTCGAAACTGCACACGTCGAACGGGTCGTCCGAGGGTCGCGCGGCCCGCAAGGACAGCAGCAAGCATTCCTCGAGCCAGTGATTCCTGAACCCGATCTCCCTCGTGACTTCGTCGGAGCGGTAGTGCCAGAGTTTGGGCGACCGCGGGTCCCCAAAACAAGGCTTGATCATCTTCAGCAACTGTCCTGGCTGCAGGCCGATCTGGTGCACAAGCATGTCCCTCATCTCCTTCGTCGGGCTCGCGTACAGCTTGATGCCGCGAACACTGACGTCCTCGGCCTGTAGGAATGCGGACTTCACATCCGCAGCGAACAGTCTCCACTTCCTCAAGGATGCCCACAGCATGACCGTGTGTCGGCCCAGCCTGCTCAAAGTGGGCGCCTCCTTGTCAAGCTGGCTTTCGGCCACGTCGCGGTGCTTGAAACCTTGGTAGAGCACCCGAGCGTTGGCCACTAGCTGCCCGTCCTTCACCTTCCACTTCAGCAGGAAGCGTAGCGGGCAGCACGCCGCTGGGTCCACCTCCGCCTCGTCGATGGGTTCCCAGCCGTCATTCTTGTTGAACACCGAGGGCCTCCAGTTTGGCTGCGTAGAACTGCTCCCGCTCCTCGGGCGCAAGCCTGCCCTCCACGATGGTGGGGACTTTCCTCTTGAAAGCCAGCATGTAGACTGTCTCTGTGGATTCCTCCAACAACATCATCTCGTCGCCCACCTCCTCGATGAGACACGACTCCTCCTGCTGCGGTGCGAGCCTGGCCCACGACATGCGGGCGCGTTTTGCCAAGGGGATGCCGTCCAGCCTCTCGGCCTCCTCGATGCTCCTCTTGGCCATCGCCTCGATGTGGACTCTGCTCGGCTCCCTCGCGGCGTTGCCACGCTCACGCGCAGCGCTGGCCCCCGCAGCTGCGGGTTCTGGAGCCGCCTCCTCGTCGGCCTCAGATGGCTGGTGGGCCTCGGGAGCTGCCGTGGCAGCCGCTCCACTCGGCTCCTCTCGTTCTTGTCCAACAGGATCTCCATCGGGGTGTCCCCGGGCGCCGGGCTGCTGTGCGCCCACGTCGTCCAGGGCGTCGTCGTACTGGGGCCGCTGGCCCCCCTCGGCGAGGTCACTGAAGCTGCAGGTACCCTTGGTCCGCCTGAGCGCCCTCCTCAGCTTCTCGATGGTGCTGAGTGGGCTGTCTGGGTCCTCGCGTCGTCCTTCTCGCTCCCGGGTCTCACTGGACAGCTCGGGGCGGAGCTGCTCCACCGTGCATCGTTAGATCGCGCACCCGTGCGTGACCCACACCACGGACGCGTGCATCACGTCGTCCTCGTTGACCTTCGACTCCACCGCCACCACCAGCGCCGGGCCATGCCAGTGGCACTTCTCCATGCCCGTCGACATCTCGGGTCGCCAGAAGTAGACCCACTCGCCGATCTGGTACTCGCGGCGTGTCGGTCTGCTGCGCGCCAACAGCGCAGCTCGCACGGCACGAGAACAGTTGGCCTCGATGAGTGCCGTCCCCGCCGCAGCGCGCCTGACCATCATCTCGTGCACCTCGCTCTTGGGATCGACCAGCGCGGCCTGCTCCGCCAGGCCGAAGTCCTCGTCACACAGCGCGCCAGGCACCTTGGGCTGTGTACCCAGCACCAGCGTCGCGGGCGAATACCCGTGCACGCTGCGTAAGATGTTCCGCTGGCTGGCGGTCATCCTGAGCGCGGTCTTGAGCGAGTCGTCGGGAAACTGCAGGTGGTACTTGCTGAGCTGCTCCCTCCTGACCGCATGGTTGCGCTCCATGAGTCCGAGCTTGTGGCGCGCGCCCTTCGGGATCAGGTCGAGCGCGATGTCGTGCTTACTCATCCACTGGTGCATCTTTCTTGACGTGTGAGAGCCTGCCATGTCCATCCTCATGGTGTCGGGCTTGCCAACCCAGCTGATCCACAATTTCTGAAACAGCTGCACCTCCTTCTTGAAAGTTTCCTTCGCGATCGGGTAGTCCACCTCGTAGCGCGTAAACTCATCCATCATGGCCAAGATATTTCGCTCCTTGTTCTTCCAGGTGACGTAGTAGACGTCGGTGTTCACGACCTCGTTGAACCGATTAGCCTTCGGCAGCACAGCTACGCGCACTGCTCGAGGTCGTTGTCTGCTCAGGCACACTTCACACTGGAAGAGCCTGGCGCACTGGAGCCACTCGGCCGGGGCCTTCGCGTGCTTCATGGCGGTAGCCAGTGCCGCGTTGGAAGGGTGGCCCAGGCTGATGTGAGCGCGCTTGACCGCCCTGATCGTCGACACGTTGAAACGCTTCATCAGCTCCTGCATCGCGTCGGTGCACTCGATGGCGTCGATATCCTTGGAGACCTCCTCGGCGGTGTTGATATCCTCAATGTCATCGGCCATGCCCTGATAGGCGATCAAGTAGGCCATCCTTCGCGCCATCGGTCTCGGGTAGTTTTGAGCCTGCTGGGCAAGCTTGCCGCGCAAAACCACGTGCTCCTCGGTGCAGCTGCATCTCAGGTTCATGTGGTGAACAAACTCTTTGTTCGTGGACTGGAGTCGCGTGGGCTTCTGGTACGGCATAAACTTACCCTTGATCTCGAACTTCGCGCCCAACCTGCACTGGTCGAGCCGGCAGTGATATCCGGGCAGCTTCTGCCAGGTCTTGGTCTGCCAGTGTAGCCCTTGCCACGGGCCTTCTACGTGCGCATGACGCCCACCGTTCTGCTGCTTCACAAACGAATCCCGAACCATCTTGAGGAACGTCTTTTCCTCTGTCGGGTGAGGTTGATCTCCTTCGCGTGTTCCTCCGACAACTTCTCATCGACATGTTGCCACGAACGCCATATCCTGCATGGGGGTGCGGAGAAGATGTCATCGGGCTTCTCCTCATCGGTCTCACTCAAGAAGCTGCGAATCACGTTGGGCTTGGAAAAGTCCCAGCCGTCGGCCAACCTGAACTGGATCACCTTGACCTGCGGGAACTCCAGCAGCTCCTCCGACAGCGCCCCTTGGTCCACGAAGACCTCCCAGACCACGCGCTCGCGGGGTCCTCTAAGCGTGTCCTTCATGTCGGTCTCCGCTTGCTCTAGGGCCAAGATCAGGTCTGAGTAGGTGTCCGCGTCCATGTCTAAGAAACCCTCGGTCGTCAGCGCCTCGTCGTCGCTGCCGATGTCGTAGAACTCCGGGACGGTCTCGAAGTAGTAGGCGTCGGCGTCGGGCACCGACGAGTCGCTGCCGTCGTCGGTCTCCCCCATCACCGAACTCCCCTCCGAGTCCTTGTCCGTCGAGGCGTCGCTGCTCTCCTCGCCGTCCGTGGGAACGCCCTCATTCATGGCGTCGTCTGCTTCCTTCCTGGCGCTGCCCAACAAATCAATGATGAAGTGGCCCTTCTCATCTCGCTCAGACTTCATCCAGCCCTTGTCGGGAAGGCCCTTCATCATGAACGTGCCTGCTCGATAATCCTGAATGAGACCCTACTCCTCCATGCAGGGCCTGGCGATGAGCAGCGGCGTCCACCCCTCGACGAGGTGGATGGTGACTTGCTTCTTGATCCCGAACGGCCATACCGCCAACGTCACTGCTTTCTTTGCCTCGAGCGTCTTACCGTCTCCGAACCTGAACCGTCGATCACTCTTCCCATATTTGACCTCGTGCAGCAACTGCTTCACGCGAAGCAGCTCCTCCCACTGCGCCCAAACCTTGTCGCCCATGACGGGCCGTGTGGCGCCTCCGTCGCTGATGCCCTTGCCGACCGTAAGCAGGAATACCTCTTCGGTCGAGTTCGCGTACTCCAACGTTTCGACGTCCTCGACCATGTTACCTGACTCGGTCTCCGGCCTGCTGAACCCGCCGTGGCGGAACCTCTTGAATCTCGGGCCGCGCTGCTGGGTCGAGCCCGTCCCGGTCGATCCCGCACTGGATGCAGGCGGCGAGCGGGTGAAAGGCGCCTTCGGGAACTTGAACGCTGATGGATCTCGTCGTGGCAGACTGGATCCTTTGCCTTTGCCTTTACCCTTGCCACGTCCACGTCCCTTGCCTTTGCCTTGGGCTCGGGCCGGTCGTGCTTCGCGGTAGTTGTTGTCGGGCGCCACAGCGACGATCGGGTAGAAGCCTCTGGGCTTTGCGATCTCAGCCACACGCTTTTTGGCATCCACGAAACTCAGGTAGGCCTCGTCGCACGCGAGCTGAGCGTCCTCAACATCCTGGGGCAACTCCTCCGCGATCTCGGCCTCCTCGTCTGCATCTTCGTACTCGTACTCATCTTCATCGTCATACTCCTCCTCCTCCAGGTACGTGTCTTCGTAGCTCAGGCCTCGTTCCCACTCGTAATCGTTCGTGTAGTGAGCATCGTCCTTGGTATTCTGCCCGAGCAGCATCTTCTCCACTCGCTTGACGTCGCGCTTGTCGGGCAGACCCTCGGCTCCGTACGCGTCGAGCAACGCCTTCTTCACCTTCAGCCAACTGAGGCCGTCTACGCATTGACTCCGAACCTGGGCGGCACCTGACGGTGGGATCGCCGCTCTTGTGAGGAGGTGCCAGCCCGCTAGCAGATCTGGGATCTCCATGCCCACTTCCTTCAGCTTCCTTATGTCGCGCTGATGTCGTAGGCAGTACAACTTCATGGATTCCTTCTCCTGGCGGGCGAACCTGCCGAAGAACTGATCCGTCCGGGCTGGCAGCTCAGTCTGGTTATCATACTTGTAGTATTCCTCCAAGACCTTGAACAGCGGCCTGAAGGCCTCGTCCGTCTCTAGCAGGTCCAGGTCGATCTCTTCCGTAGCCTCAGCCGCCTCTCCTTGCAGCGAGTTCATGACCAGAAACGCTCCCTCGCTGATGGCGGTCGTGCCGCGCTTGCGGCAACACCTCTCGAAGACCTCTAGCTTTTGCCTGAAAACTCGGTAGCCGTCGGTCTTCAACAGCTCGTAGCTGGGCGCCGTCTTGGACAGGCCCGCGTCGAGTCCTCTGCCCCCGTCCCAGTTGGAACTCTCCTGGCGCCACCAGCTTCCGCCCGTCCAGCCAGCCCACTCCTCGGCGTAGGCTGCCTCGTCGCCCTCGCTGCCGGGGACCCGAGTGGTCGCGGCAGCGGGGTCCACGCCGCTGGCACCCGACGCAGCCGCGGCGGCAGGGGGCGGGGTGCCCGGCGGTTTCGCCGGCGGCGGTCCTGGCGGCTTCGCCGCTCCGCGGGGCGGCGTCGCGCCAGCGGGCATGGCGCGGGGACGGGGTGCCGGAGATGGGTGTGGATCTCCGGCTCCGCTACCAATCTCAACCGATGGCAGCACACTAAGTCTGTCTCGGGATGTACGTGATCTGATTATCTCGATAACCTGGGAAAGAATACGCAACCTTTTCCTGTGACTCAGGGGCCCCTGAACATCAAACGGCAGCGGTCCAGACATAATCAAACACTGTGCTAATAATCAATGCAAACGAACACGGCATACACACATGAAAACTCAATGAAACGTGGGTGATATTGACACCAGCAGCCCTCGAACGTGGCGACAGTTTCGCAGATCGCAGCCCCCAAAGGATGGCGAGGTCTAATCTGAATCTGCGCATGACCCCACTCCGCTGGGCCCCCCAGCAGCCCTCGAAAGTGGCGACGGTTTCGCAGATCGCAGCCCCCCAAAGATGGCGAGGTCGAATCTGAATCTGCGTATGACCCCACTCCGCTGGGCTTCCCTGCAGCGCTCGAACGTGGTGACAGTTTCGCAGATCGCAGCCCCCCAGGGATGGCGAGGTCGAATCTGAATCTGCGCTGCGTATGACCACACTCCGTTGGGCCCCCCAGCAGCCCTCGAACGTGGCGACAGTTTCGCAGATTGCAGCCCCCCAGGGATGGCGAGGTCTAATCTGAATCTGCGTATGACCCCACTCCTCGAAAGTGGTGACAGTTTCGCAGATCGCAGCCCCCCAAGGATGGCGAGGTCTAATATGAATCTGCGTATGACCCCACTCCGCTGGGCCCCCGAGCAGCCCTCGAAAGTGGCGACGGTTTCGCAGATCGCAGCCCCCCAGGGATGGCGAGGTCAAATCTGAATCTGCGTATAACCCCACTCCGCTGGGCCCCCCAGCAGCCCTCGAACGTGGCGACAGTTTCGCAGATTGCAGCCCCCCAGGGATGGCGAGGTCTAATCTGAATCTGCGTAAGACCCCACTCCGCTCGGCCCCCCAGCAGCCCCTTAAAGTGGCGACAGTTTCGCAGATCGCAGCCCCCCAAGGATGGCGAGGTCTAATATGAATCTGCGTATGACCCCACTCCGCTGGGCCCCCCTGCAGCCCTCGAAAGTGGCAACGGTTTCGCAGATCGCAGCCCCCCAGGGATGGTGAGGTAGGAGACAAAGTGGCACGCAGGATCGAGCGAGGTAGGAAGCAGGGGGGAAGAGGAAAGGGGCGGGAGAGGAGAGGAGAGAAGTCGCGACCGCAGCTGCTCTCTCGTGGCAGGGTCCGCACGCGGCCCCCAGCCACTTCAGCACACCCCCTACACGTTTCGCGGTCCCCCATCCAAATGTCCCGTGCCCCATCCTTCCCGTGGCGCGCTATCTACGAAGGGGTGGTCATGCACTGCCTGATTCGAAACTGCACATGGTTGGGTCCTTTGTAATGCTGATTGTTCCTGGACGCGAGGAGTCTGAGTCTGGCTGTCGCAAAATCATTCCCTGAACAACGAGGCGGATACAGCGGTGGCTGGCGGCGAGGGCGCCCCCAGAGGCCCCAGAGCGCCCCAGAAACCAAACCCCTGGACTCGAGAGTCGAAGCAGAAGACAAAACGCTATAAACATAGACTTTTGCCGCTTCGCGCGGATTTCTTGGATCTGCGCTGGACCACCCTCCGTGCCGCGCGGAGAGCGCGCCAGGGGGCGGCGCTTCATACTCCGCGCTAAGCGCGGACAGTTTACGTTTACGGCGAGTCCCAACCTGAAGGGGTCCCCCGCTGCTGGATGAAAGGCCGTCAGCCCTCGAATCTCTGGCGAGGTGTGCGCTCCCGCCTGCCGGCGCCGCCCCGCCCCGCCCCGCCGCGCTCCCCCCGGGGGCTCCCAGGGCCTTGGCCTCGGCGTGCGCCAGCTTCGCGAGCTGGTCGCCGGGCGGCGCGGCGCCGGGCGGGAAGGCGGACAACGTCGGCAGGCCTCCCACGAGCTCGGGGCCGGCTGGGAGGGCCTGCGCGCGGGGGTGGGCCGCGCCGAGCAGGCCCTGGCGCCGTGGGCAGTCCCGAGGGCGGGTTTTACATCTAGGTCAGAAGCTGAATTCGGGCACCGTGGCCCATGGTGGCCGTCAAGAGTTCCGAGCGAATACACGTCGGTCGGAAGAAGTGGGTGGAAACATGAAGTAGGAAGGCGGGTAAAGTAAAATTGGTTCAGGCCCTCCCAGAGAAGAGCAAGACACAGCAAAGGCAGATCGATTATTCGAGTAGGAAGGCGTTTGACGTATATTGGGACCTGCATCTCCAAATGCACCCAGGTTCAACGACCGACGGGTAACTGACCGAGCCCTGTGAGATGGGATCGAAGGCTCTGGGTGGAGGCGGGGCATGTGCTCCCCTTCTCGTCCCTGTCCATCTCCTTTCATCCTCGCCTTTGCCCCCATCCTTCTCGTTGTGGTTCTACTCGTCCTCCGTCTTGTTGTCCACATCATCCTGCTCATGCGCCCCTTGCTGGTTTGTTTCCCCTCCTGCTGACCATGCTGCTGCTCCTCCTCCTCCTCCTCGATTCATTGCGCTTGATCCCGCTGCCCATTTTCCTCCTCCTCCTCCTCCTCCTCCTCCTCCTCCTCCTCCTCACCTCCTCCATTCCTCCTCATCCTCCGAATCCGTCAGGGAATGTCGACCCAACTATACTCATCGGCAACATCCCTCATAGAATTAGGCTGTGCTTCCGTCGGTCCAGCTTGTGCATGACATGACTCACGTACTCGGCGATTACTTTTGAGCCAAGTTTACGACATGATGGTTGATTGCGCCAACAAGATCGACTTATGATGCGCAGTGCATCTTACAATGGGCGGTATCTTCAATCCATGCACTGCGCAACTAGAACTGACAACAAACATAGTGTTTGCCTGATGGTCCCGGGGACCAAATGACGGCCCCCAAAGCCGAGCGTTGACAACATTTTCAGCCCTGACTTCTGTTACACGCGAAGAGGTCTTGGGATGGCAGAGGGGACATGAGGGGCAACGATGCACGTCGGTCGGAAGAAGTAGGAAGAGAACATGAAGCAGGAAGGCGGATGCAGAGTAGATTGAGCTCGGGCCCGCCCAGAGAAAATCAACGCGCAGCAGACACATATCGATTCCTGGTGTAGGAAGGCGAAGTAGCTTGGGATCTGAAGATCCACACACACATACCCTCAACGACCGACAAACAGTCTCTACCCTGCCGGTCGCGAGTTTGGTCCTCCAGACAGCTTTCGCGCGCCGAGACCCCAAGACAGCATCGTGCCCT